TAGGGTACAGAGTAATATAAAGTAGAAATTGTTTCTATATCATGCAAACGTGACAATATCACGTTTATGTATCGTTTAAACCAAACAAGGTGATGAGGTTGTTGGTAGTGGCTGCTTTATCAATTCCAAATACCATGAACTAGGAAGATAGTTCGCTCCAAGCTCGGAATGGACTCACCTGAATTAATGCATGATTATCTTTAGAAAATACTGAATCACCCGAAAGCAAAAGAGGCTCGCTTTTCTCGCAGCTCTCCTGGCTGATGAGCGTGTCTGCATAGTTGGGCTGCGGGAAGATCAAGTGACTCTTTCGGGAGCCCGCAGTGAGCGAGACCTCGTGTGAATAGGTCTGCAGGAAAGCTTGCACTCCGTCTACACCCACAAAGTGAGAGGCTGGAACGTCAGCCAATCCGGGTCCCGCAGCCCCGAGCAGGCGCAGTGAGTGCCAGCGCCGCAGCCTGAGCGCCAGCAGCACCAGAACAAAGACCAGGAAGACGCTGGAGACCGCCGCCACCGCCACCACCAGATAGAGCGTGAGCCCTGAGCTTTCGGAGGTAGAAGGAGACTCTAGACTGTCCAGATCCGCCAGGACGTCGGGGATGCTGTCGGCGATCGCCACCGTGAGCGTGACAGTGGCGGAGAGAGGAGGCTGGCCGTGGTCCTGCACAGCCACTACGAGGCTCTGCTTGAGGGCATCTCTGTCCAGCAGGGCCCGGGCCGTGCTTATCTCGCCCGTGTGCAGCCCCACCAAGAAGAGCCCTGGCTCGCTGGCCTTGATCAGACGGTAGGACAGCCAGGCGTTCTGTCCTGAGTCTCTGTCCACCGCCACCACCTTCGTCACCAGATAGCCAGGCTCTGCTGAGCGGGGCGCTAGCTCCACCCCGGTAGAACCGTCCGTAGGGAGGGCGGGGTACAAGATTTCGGGGGCATTGTCATTCTGATCCAGCACGAACAGGTTCAGTGACACGTTGCTGCTGAGCGGGGGGTCCCCGCTGTCCCGCGCCAGCACTTGCAGGCGTAGGTCTCGGAACTGCTCATAGTCAAAGGAGTGCAGTGCGTACAGGACACCAGTGTCCGAGTTGATGGAGACGTAAGAGGAGAGGGGCACGCCCTGGTGGCTGTCCTCAGCTAGGGAGTAAGTGACTTGGGCATTCTTGTCACTGTCGGGGTCGTGGGCGGTCACGGACGCGATGGAGGCCCCTCTGGGATTGTTCTCCGGGATGTAGGCCCAGTAGGAGGCCTGAGGGAAAACGGGCGGGTTGTCGTTAGTGTCCGCTACGTTCAGGGAGAGGTGAGTTTCGGTTGACAGGGGCGGACTTCCCCTGTCAGTGGCCGTCACTGTGATGTTGTAGCTAGGAACCTGTTCTCGGTCTAGGACGGTGTCTGTGACTAAACTATAGTAGTTTCCGTAGGATTTCTCTAATTTAAAGGGCAGATCCTCTTGGATGGAACAGATTACCTGTCCATTTTCCCCGGAGTCTTGGTCATTGACATTTAAAAGGGCTATTAATGTCCCTCGGGGAGAGTTTTCCGGGACGGAGCTGGTGAGGGACGTGATGGCTACTTCAGGGGCATTGTCGTTCACGTCCAACACTGTGACCAGGACTTTGGCCCGTGCAGAGTATCCCGCGTTATCGGTTGCTTGCACTTCCATCTCGTAGAAACCCGATTCTTCGTGGTTCAGCTCCCCTGTTGTTGATATTGTCCCCAAATTACTGTCTAGCTTGAAAACTTTAGCTGCCTTGTCGTCCACATACCGGAAGGAATACATCACTTCCGCATTGGCTCCTTCGTCCGGGTCGGTGGCATTGACTAGCAGCAGCTGAGAGCCCACAGCCACGTTCTCCAGCACACTCACGCGGTACTCGGACCGAGCAAACACAGGTGCGTTGTCGTTCACGTCCACAACCATCACGCGGATGCGCGTTGTACCGCTGCGGACCGGGTCCCCAGCGTCGGAAGCGGTGAGAACCAGGAGATGCTCGGCCTTTTCCTCGCGGTCCAGCGCGCGCTCCAGCACCAATTCCGGGTACTTGTTACCATCAGCTCCGTTCTGCACCTCCAGCGAGAAGTGAGCATTGGGGCTGAGCTGGTAGCTCTGAAGAGAGTTCTTCCCGATATCTGGATCCCAAGCGTGGGGAAGAGGGAACCGCATCCCAGCGGCGGCGTTTTCACTCATTTTTATCTCCAATTCACTTTCACGGAAGTAGGGAGCGTTGTCGTTAATGTCCCTCACTTCTACTTCCACTCCGTATATTTTCCCTATATCTTCCATCAGAATCTCTAGATTTAATTGACACTTGATGGACCCCATACACAGCTCCTCCCGGTCTATCCTGCCCGCGGTGACCAAGCTGCCGCTCCGCGGGTTCAGAGCGAAAAGTTGAGACCTACCTCTGGAGACGATGCGGACCCCGCGCTCCGCCAGCTCGCGGGGCTCCAGCTCCAGGTCCTTGGAGATGTTGCCTACCCTAGATCCTTTCTCCAGTTCCTCCGGAACTGAATAGCGTATCTGGGTGGATCCAGCCTCCCCCAGGCTCCCGAGGAGGACTCCCAGCACGACCAGCACTTTGCAGTCCTGGCGCCATTCCGCAGGGATCATTGTCATTTGAGGAGTATTTCCAATCCTGCCTTTGGCCACTTAAACCAGACTCCGCTTTTCAGGCCCTGGAACCCGACAGTCAGGAGGTGGGACCAGCTCCTCAGGCCAGTTTCCTCCGAGAGGTGTTTTGTCTCAATCTATCTGCTTTGTGCTTTAGGCAAGCACGCAAAGCCAGCGAGCAGGGCTTCGCGGTCTTTTCCTCCCAGGTTGGTGAACAGCGGCACTCAGAGTCTGAACCAATTACTGCACAGTGTTGAACTCTGGGAGAGGATTTTTTTGGTTGTGTACCTTAAATAGCTCCACCTACTGTTCTTCAAGTGGAGATGGAAACAGGACTCGGCATTTCAGTTCTCTAATATTTTACCTACAAACCCACTTCCTTGACATTATTTTCAGTAGCTGTTTGTATTTTCCTATTTTTCCCAGTAAGAAAAAATTTCAGTAGATTTCTAGAAATTTCCTAAAGGGAAGAACTATTGTGACAAGTTGGAATTTAATACTGAACCCCCCCCCCAAAAAAAAAAACAACAACAGAATGTCTCGATAATATGGAAACAAAACTGAGAAGTGTTATAGCGCACATTGTCAGATTCATATGTGACAGCTAGTCATGTGACAAAGATGTACTAACACTTTTAGAGTAAGTGGAAGGATCCCAACTTGCATTACCTGGAAGTGGAGATAGTGTTACACAATTCTACAGATGCATGCATTGCAAAAGGACGTTTGATGTCGATTAAGACTTAGTAAAAGCCGGGCGGTGGTGGCGCATGCCTTTAATCCCAGTACTCGGGAGGCAGAGGCAGAGGAATCTCTGTGAGTTCGAGGCCAGCCTGGTCTACAAAGCGAGTTCCAGGAAAGGCACAAAGCTACACAGAGAAACCCTGTCTCGAAAAAACAAACAAACAAACAAACAAACAAACAAAAACAACAACAACACTTAGTAAAAGAAAGTTAGGAATTTGAAGGATACCATAAAATTACCTTTTCTTGGGTAGCCAACCTAATTTTAATAACTGAGAATTATTGGCCATACATTTAGAAGCAGAAGATGTAGAAAAGATTCTAGGAGATGACTGCCTACACGTATTTCATGTGTCTAGAAACTGTATCTGAGAATAAACACTTTTGGTGATGGCTGTGGGACAGTAGACATTGGCTGACTCCATGCTTAAGTATAAACTTTAAGTGAGCTAGCCTCCAGCCTCTGTCACCATAGAATAAAACTGGAAGGAAACTTACAGATACTTGTGGGAAAAGAGTAGACATAAAAGTGAGATTAAAAGAACTCTGAATAGGCCGGGCAGTGGTGGTGCATGCCTTTAATCCCAGCATTAATTCAGGAGGCAGAGACAGGTGAATCTCTGTGAGTTCGAGGCCAGCCTGGTCTACAGAGCGAGATCCAGGACAGGCACCAAAACTACACAGAGAAACCCTGTCTTGAAAAACCACTGCCCTCCCCTAAAATCATAAACAAAAAACTCCTAATATATCTGAATACTATTGCCAAATTATTATCACATCATAATAGAACCTTTTTGTACATACCATTTCTCAATTTATATTAATAAAGAAAGCCTTATAAGCTCAAGATATCGCTCTCCCAAGAAACAACTATAGAAAAACCAAAGTATAGTTTAAAGTATTTGAGTAGGACCAGCAAGAGATGGCTCAGCAGGTAAACATTCTTGCTGCCAAATCTAATTGAAGCTGAGTTAAATTCCTGGGACCAACATGGTAGAAATAGAGAACTAACTCCCAAAAGTTATCTTCTGAGTTCCACATGGCGCGCACACACACACACACACTCATTTAAAATTATTTGATGGCAGTGCATCATAATACTTCTACGATTTGAGTTTTGATGTATATAGATAACATGTTTCAAAATCCTGAAGCCTAACGGTACAGTTACCGGCCCATAGCGAAAAGACAGGAAAGAACTGAGATTGTGCAAATGAAACAGGCGATTGTGGGTATAATGTGTTTTAAGATTCCGTTTCAAGGTCTACTGTGGTGGCGCACACCTTTAATTGCAGCGCTTGGGAGGCAGAAGAAGAAGGATCCTTGTGTGTTCAAGGCCAGCCTGGTCTACACAACTGGACCCTACCTCAAAAAAAAAATTCATTCCAAAAGAATTTGAAAATTAAACAATTTGCGAATGAAAGGCTCATTGAAACTCACGTGAGTAGAAGCGATTGAATCAGAGAGTATCTTGTTATTCTCCTCAGTGACACTCACTTCCACAGAAGCGTCCATAGAAAGACCTTGCGGAGGGACCATTTCTGGCATTAAGGTAAGAAAATGAGACGTGTTTTGACAATTGGAGGCAACATAGAGATCGTAGGAATAAGGCAGAGTCCCCTCATTGTAGTTGAGAGAAACCCCTGGTCTAGTCTTACAGCAGACGCCAGACTGAAAGCAGCCCGAGACTGCAGGACTGTGGGACTGTCGCAGGCGAAGGACGATGGCTAGAATCACAACGAAAAGGAAGAGTACTGAGACCAAGGCCAAGGCCAAGACCAAGTAAAACTGCAGCTCACTCTGGGGGTCAGAGGGCAGAGGATCATCGCTGAGTTCTGGTAGGGCTTCCTGCAGGCTGTCAGCAAAGATCAGGTGCAGCGTGGCTGTAGCCGAGAGCGGTGGCTGTCCACCATCGCGTACAGCGACCAGAAGGCGCTGCCGCGCCGCGTCCCTGTCGCCCAAGGCACGCGCTGTGCGCACCTCGCCAGTGCGCAGCCCCAGGCTGAAGAGCCCGGGATCGCTGGCCTGCAGCAC